TGCTGCGCTGGGTGCGCCATGACCCACAGGCCCGAGCCTCCCACCTGCCTGAGCTGCTCAGCCTAGTGCACCTGGACGCCGTGCCCAGGCCCTGCGTGCAACAACTGCTGGCCACAGAGCCCCTGATCCAGGAGTCAGAGGCATGCCGGGCAGCCCTGTCCCAGGGCCGTGATGGGGTGAGTGAGCAGCTGGGAGGCCCCTATTCCTGGGAAGCAGGGAGGAGAGCCCCAGAAACCCCACCTGAATCAGGACAGAGTAAAGAGTGGACATTCCAAGGTGCACTGACCTTGCAATGCTCCTTGTTTTGGGCCAGTTCCCTATAAGGACATCACCATTCACCCCTCAAGTGCAGATCGTGCCTGTGTGCGTGTCACACCCTGGGTGCAAGGGGCAGGGGAATGTAGAAGTGGTAAGATCTGACCCTGTCCTGAAGGAGCCTGCAGCTCAGTGGGACAAGCCTGGAAACAGACGTCAGGCAGTGTGGAAGGGCCAAATATATGCCCAGGATGCATTCTGGGAGGGGCTGGCAGTCAGGGAGTGCTTTCTGGAGGAGGCAGCATGTGAGCTGGGCCTTAGAGGAGGGATAGGAGCTCACAGGGAGAAAAAGAGGGGAAAACCATCCAGGAAGGTGGTGCAGCTTATGCACAGGCAAGGAGGCACAGACAGGCCTGGCAGTCCGCCCCAGCTTTTATGGGGTGCTACTTCCTGTTTGTGCTGGCAGTGGGCCTGGCGGGCACGGCAGGTCATGATGGAGTGACAGGTCTGGGAGTGGCTGCGCGGTCAGCTGCCAGACACCCTGTTTAGGGGCCTTGCTCCAGAGCACTCCTTTAGAGCCAAGTCCGAAGACAAAGAGTGGCTCAGGCTGATGGTCCTCAGGCCAAGGGTGGAGTGAGTAGTGGGCTAACCCCTAACCCCTGTCCCCGCTGGATTCCAGCCAGTCACAGAGCACCTGGCCTCCTTCTGGAGCTGGCTTCAGAGCCTTGCCAGTAGGCAGTCACCTAGTATTCTAACTCCTGGCAATGGGAGATCTGGGGGTTCCATATGGGGGCCAGGGCAGGTGGCTGTTGGGGAGCCTGGGGTCCTGGGAGCCCTAGGCAGCGACTGCTTACTGGCCATTCCTAAGACAGCCAGCGTTTCCCGCTGAGCCGGGACACCCTTGTGCCGCCTGCTGGAGGCCACCCAGGGAGCGGGGATGGGGAGAAGCTCATGCATGGCGCTGCGTACCTGCTGTGGGGCTGGTTCTGAAGGTGGTTCAGGAATGGCCCTGAAAGGCACGTGGTGCAAGGAGGCAGGAGCTTGTGCACTCGGGCACACACCATCTCCAGCAACACGCATGCACACATGCACACACATGCCGAGGCCTGCCCAGGGCATACGGGGGCTCAGGGCATGGGGAGACTTTGCCGTTGCCCTGACCCTGGCCTCCCACCCCACAGGCACCACTCGCCCTCCGGCAGAAGCTGGAGGAGGTCCTGGTGGTGGTGGGCGGGCGGGCGCTGGAGGAGGATGAGGCAGGTGAGGAGCCCACTCCCCACCTTGGAAACTTTGCCTTCTACAACAGCAAGGCCAGTAAGTACCCCTCCCGCGTCTGGGCCCACCTGCCGTCCCTCGGTCTGGCGAGAGCCGCTGTGTCCACCTTGCAGGTGGAGCGACTGAGGCTCGCAGAGGACCAGGAGCTGTAAGAGGCCACTGTGAGGGGCATGCCTGGGTGGGCCTCACCTGGGGGCTGCAGAGGAGCCTGTGACACCCCAGTGAGGAGGAAAGCTGGCGGGCACTGCTGTTTCCTTTCTCTGCAACCAGAGCCCAGGACTCTGGTCCCTTTTAGGCTCTGGGACTGATGTACAGGGCTCCACGGCCCAGACTGCACTCTGTGGAGTGGGCGGCCTGGCCGCTGCCTCCTCCCCATGCCCCCCACTCAGTGCACCTGCCGGGGGAATCGAGACCCCAAGGGGAGATCGGGGTGGGGAGTAAAGGGGTACAGGCAGCTGGAGGAGTGAGAGCTCAGCTTCTGGGTCAGCCCAAACGGTTGTAATCCCAGCCCTCAAACAGGTGACCTTGCCTCTCTGAGCCTCAGCTTCCTCATCTGTGAAATGGGCTCCTGGTGTTTCCTCACACAGTTGTAGGAAGCCCTGAAGTGGGCACTGAGGCCAGGTCTGCCACTTGGCGGGAAAGGAGGCATGAGGGCCCCGCAGCGGTTCTGGAGGCCCCTGCACTGGCCCCGGGAGGTGCTCTGGGAAGGGCTGATGCAGGCTGGCTGGTGTCATGGGGCCACCAGGCAGGTCGCCAACCATCTCCTTGGCGTCAGAGGCTGGCAGACTCCAGGAAGCCCGAGGCCAGCTGTTCGGGTCAGGGGCTGATGAGAGGGGTCTGGGGCTGGCGTCAGGAGGGAGCAGCTGTCTCAGACCCAGCCAGGAGGCGGGGTGCTGGCAGGAAGGGCCTGTTGATGGCTGGGCAACCCCCTCCCTGGGGTGACAGAGCCATGAGTCACGGGGACACGGTCCCTGCCCACAGTGCCAGGCTGTGCTCCCAGGGAGGCCTGGAATTCCGCATCTCCCAAAAATGGTCATAAACAGTAAACAGAGTCTTCCCAGGGGATGTCCCGAAGGCCTGGGGCTCTTCCACAAACACCCAAAATATGTCCACAGTTATTGTCTTGATTTTCCAAAGCATTTTCGCATCTCTTGCCTCAGTTTACCTCTTGTAGCTCTGAGAGGCAGGCCTGACTTGGGCACATCGCTCTGCCCCACCCCATAACCCGAGCAGCAATCATCCTAACAGCCGCCATCAGTGAGCAGTCCCATGAGGGTCCCCATAGCTCCTGGGAGGCAGGGGTCAGTCCCACTCTACAGCAAGGAAACTGAGGCTGGGCTTTGCCCAAGGACACACAGCTGGGGCACGACAGCTGGGATTTGGATCCGCTCTGCCTGCTGCAAGGCCTGTGCCTGATCCCCTGTATGTGCCTGGCTGCCTGGAGGGCAGGGAGGGTGCAAGGAAGAAACGGAGGGAGGGAGGAAGGCATGCTGTTATCACACACTAGTGACACCCACAGATCAGGCCACTTAACCCACACCGCATCTAACCGACAGGCCAGCCCCAGGGACTGAATGGTCCATTTGGGGTCAGTGGGGTCAACTGCAGGGTCAAGGTGAGACCCCGGCCTCCAAAGCCTTCCTGCTTCTCCAGGGGGCTATCCTGTGTCCACTCTGAGTGCCAGGCTCTGCGGAGGGGGTAGGGGGGACGCATTAAGCCAGAGCACCCAGGACCCCCTGGGCCCCTGCACCAGTGTCCCCCTGCCCTTCCCTTTCCCCACCAGTGAGGGGGGCATTTCTGCACCTGGTGCACGGAAAGGCACCTGGGAAGGGGTAGTGGGGACCGCCCCAGCAGGGAGCCTGGCAGCCTGACCCTTCTGCCTCTCTCCTTCTGCCAGAGAGGTGGATGGCGCTTCCAGACTTCCCCGACTACCACAAGTGGGGTTTCTCCCTGGCGGCCCTGAACAACAACATCTATGTCACAGGTAGGCAGCTCAGGGACCCCTCCAGGGATGCCCTGCCCAGCCAAGCACCGGGCTCAGTGCAACTCCCCGCACTGAGTGGGGTCTCTGATGGTTAGTCAAGGCTTGTCGAGGCCTTTCCATGCATGTGAAAACAAGGACATTTAAAATCCGTGGTCACTCGTGGGAGCCGGGAGCTGCTTCTGTACACAGGCTAGCGTGGGCCTACCCCTGCATCGCACAGCTCCTTCAGGGGAAGCTCCAGACCTCCCCGCTGAGTGCCACGCTGGCGTGGCTGCTGTGGACGCCACAAGGTTCCAGGTGGCCTCCTTCAGTGAGAAGCCCCAGGCCTGGGTGGTTGACCAGATGTCCGTCTTGGTCCCCAGAAGGAGTCATGTGATGCAGGGGTCACTTTGTTCTTTCCTATCTTAGAAATTGGGGTTCCCTCCAGCCTGGGTGACAGAGAAAGACTCCATCTCAAAAAAAAAAAAAGAAATTGGGGTTCCTTGTAAGATTTGGGAGGGGACAAGCTTCCGCTGATGGGGGCTTGAAACCACTGATCTTGTCATCCCTGTTTATGGGGGATAGAGGGGCCTGTGCAGTCACACAGCTCGACTGCGCTACGCTGGTCCCACCCCTGGCTCACCACGCTGGAGATCA